TCTCTCTCTCTCTCTCTCTCTCTCTCTCTCTCTCTCTCTCTCTCTCTCTCTGTCTCTCTCTCTCTCTCTCTCTCTCTGTTTGTCACAAGATCTACTCCTCCCCTCTCTCTCTCTTTCTGGATACTGTCTATCGGTGTGGACGATCAAATTGACCAAAGCAAAGTTAAAAAATGATGTTAAAACACAAAAAAAGTAAATTAATTTGGTGGTCTACAAAGATGCTACGATTAGATTAGATCTAGATTCTAGATCTAGATTCTAGATCTATTTAACTTCAAATCGAGCCGAATTATGCGGGACGCCATTTGTTTTGCCCGGAAGTTCTCGCGCTGCTCCTCTCTTTCTCTCTCTCTCTCTCTCTTTCTCTCTCTCTCTCTCTCTCTCTCTCTCTCTCTCTCTCTCTCTCTCTCTCCACTGCCCACAGACAAAATTGCACGCTTTTAGGCGTACAGTAGTAATGCCAGTAATGGAACCTTTGTACTTTGTTCACGGCACAGAATTCCACAATTCTGTTATCACAGTGTAGAGTTCTGTGGTTCAGGGTGAACGCTACACTGGTTGGCCAAGGCTATAAACGGTGAACGCACACCGGGTGAGAATAGCCAAATGACTCGCCTGCGCTATTCTCACCCGAGGGAGAATAGAGGTGGCCTTTTAGGTAATGGAACGTTTGTTCACGGCACAATATTTTACAATTCTATTATCACAGTGTAGAATTCTGTGGTTCAGGGTGAACCCTACACTGGTTGGCCTAAGACAGTGAACGCACACCAGGTGAGAAAGCATGCAATTTTGTCTGGGCAGTTGAGAGAGAGGAGAGTAGCGCGAGAACTTTCGGGCAAAACTAAATGGCAACCCGCATAGTTTGGCTCGATTCGAAAAGTTAAATCGCCGTAGCATCTTTGTAGACGATCAAATTAGCTTACTTTTGTATTACGAAGTGTATACAGACCCGGTAACCGGGAACAAAGTCACGAAGTATACAGACCCGGTAGGGGAACTCTTTTGTGATTTCGGGAAGTTTCAGCGCCCAGACCCGGTAGAAATCTAGAGAGTGAGAGTGTGTGTGTGCGAGAGAGAGAGAGAGGTGCTAGCAAAATGTGACATGCCCCAGTTGGCAGGAGGGAACGAGAGAAAGATAGAGTGGGAAATAGGTGGGGACAAAGAAATACAGAGACAAACAAAGAAAAAGAGAAGGCGAGCGATACACAGAGAGAGAACGAGAGAGGGGGGGGGGGGGCAGAGAAATAGAGAGGGTGACTGCTCGATTGAAATTATGACATTGTTCTTTACTTCAAATCGTGATTCCTCCAACTCCAAAACGGAGGAAAAACGATCGTTCATCGAAAAGACATCCGCAATCTTCATTTAGATCTAGATCTAGGCTAGCTGCGAAACTAGATCAAAGATTTATGTCTGCCTAGATATAGATCTAGAAGAACCTAGGTCTACCCTGAGCCAAGAGGGCGCTGAAACTCTCCGAAATCACAAAAGAGTTCCCCTACCGGGTCTGTATACTTTGTGACTTTGTTCCCGGTTACCGGGTCTGTATACACTCCCTTTGTATTATACTGATGAGCAAAAGAAAGTGGGCACCCTACATTTTGTGCATTATTTCTGTTCTGTACCGTAGTAATGACGTATTACCAATAGATTTGGAAAGGCTTGCCATTTTTTCAATAAGTGCAGACAAAGAAAAATGATCAAAAACGCACCTTTTATTAAAAATTCATAACACTGATTCGAATGTTCAAAATCCCAGAATTAGTAATGGGTGTAACTCCCACCAACATTGATGACTACAGTACATCTCTGCCTCATTTATTGCCAAAGTCGTAGGATAAATTGCTGGAGATATATACTAATAATTCCAAGCATCTGTTAATGGTTGTTGTCGTTGGGGGGTGGCCGAAGGCTGCGAATTTCCTTGTCCATCTTGCCCTAGGGGTGATCAATCACGTTTAAAGCTGGGGATAATACTAGCAACGGTGTTATAACACGTACGTCGTTTTTGTTGTAGGAATCTCTGGGTAACAAAGGCACGGTGTGCTGGTGCAATGTCCTGCTGGCACACGAGATTGTTCCTGTGGCGAGCCAGAAAAGGCAGGTGTGGATAGAGAACGTCTTTAATGTTTCTCTGGGCAGTCAGATTACCGTCGATAATGACTAGATCGAATTCATCAGTACTACTTATGGATTCCCTTACCATAATGCTACGTTTGTCAGCAACAGCACTGGCACAGTGAGGTAAATAGCGTTCATGACGTCTCCGGTAGGCTTTCTGCCTTCCATAGTGGCAATCCAAAAGAAATCTGGACTCGTCAGAAAACATCACTCTGTTCCACTGGCGGTTTAGCCATCGCCGGTGCAGATGTGCCCAGTTGAGTCTGGCATGACGGTGTCTTTGAAGGAGACAAGTGCGCCGAGCTGGGTGTCGGGCAACGATTCCTTGGGCTTTCAAACGTCGATGAATGGTGAAGCAGCCGATTGGTCTGTGCCCAGGCCAACCTCTGGCAGTTTTAGAAGCTGTTTGAAACCGATCCAGCACATGTGAAACTCTGATCCGATTGTCTTCAACTAGTCTTCAACAGCAGAAGTGACACGAGGACGACAAGAACTTGGAGTGTCACTAACCGAATCACTTGCTTGGAAGTGTATCCTTAGCTTTTGGATTGTATCTCTCTTCACATTGAAAGCTCTAGTGACAGCAGAAACCGTCGCATTAGCTCTCAGCATGCCAAGAGCTTCAAGACGTTGCGCATCACTGAGAGGCATCGTATAAAACAAAATTGAAAAGAACAAGCCCAAAAATTTTGACGGCCTTTTCTCTGACACACGTTGAAGTGTGTAACGAATAAAGAATAAAAGTAAAGGCATGGTAAACTTTCAGGAAAAAACGAGAAAACATGTTTTTGACCAAACATGTTGTGAACACTTTTTACAACAAAATAAACAAATGTTGTTCTGACTGACTTTCTAAAGTGACTCAAGCTCAGCATGTCAATCGCCAAGTCAAAATTCGTGACACTACTCATACAGCACCGATTTGAAAACTGCCCACTTTCTTTTGCTCGCCAGTATATAACGTCATTTTTTCTTTGCTTTTATCAATTTGATCATCCACATCGAGACAGTATTTAGTATTCCGAAATTACGTCTTGTTTCACACCGGGTGAGAATAGCCAACACTTGCAAGTCTCACCCGCGGTGAGAGGTCGATCGTATTTTTATTCTCACCCCGGGTGAGAATAGCGTATTATTAAAGCTTTTTTTCTGGGGCTGCGCTGCTGTCAATTTACTTTCCTTTTCAGTGCAAACACAATAATAATGTTTTATTTTTATTGTAAGTTTCCGGACTTTGCCGCTTGTCCGGTGGCGATAAGACGTCTAGATCTATATCTAGGACTCGTACACTGACTCGGCGATGGAGTCACTTAGTGGGGAGTCGGGAATCTCAACAACTGCAATTGAGAATACAACAAGCCGAGTGGGTTATTTTCCGTCAGTGTCAGTGTGTTTGAGTTTGTTCAAATCTATAGATTACTCTTCACGCTGGGTTTTATTACTTTCGCTTGACAACGGTTTCCTTTTCACTGGAAATCTGACATCAAGAATTTTGTTGGGATTCCTACTTCACACTTCATCACCCCATCGATGAGTCAGTCTGCGAGTCCTAGATATAGAGTTTATCACTAATATCTAGATTTTCGTCTTTCATGTTTTCTCACTGGAGGTAATTTATTGGTTTTCTAAATACAGGTCCTATCCTTAGGAGGAATTATAAAATTGATGAAGCAGGCCTGTACAATGGAATGGTGCAAAACCCTTGTTGGGCAAGCAGAGTTAGAAAAGTGTATTTCTTGGGTTTTCAAGTTTAGATGGTAGATTTAAATATATTTATATTTTCAAAAGTGTGATGATCAGGGGGAAAATAATTTAGTTAGTGGAAGTTGGACTTTTGTAATGAGTGACCACCCCAACAAACACAATAAAGAGACCTGATGTTAACTCTAACCCTAACCCTCTATCTATTTCATAGTGGTCGCTTGTTTCAGAATTCCTCCCCATTTTAGTCAAATAATGACCACACACATCCTGCTTGAATGTAGTTTTGATTTATATTTTTACTTTCCTGCAAGGACTGGACCCCAAGGTGGATGATTATATTGCGGATGATCTGGATATCAAGGTTGTGTGGCTAAGCAACATCTATGAGACAGACAGTCTTGCCTCTGAACTCGGAATCCTTGATCACGAGGCCACCAGCGCCTCTTTTGGTACCACACCCGACAAGATGAGAAGCTGGATGAAGAGTCTAAGGAAAGAAGGTACCGGTACTTCCTGCCCTGTCCTCTTTTAAGATTGCCTGAACTTAATATTGTAGTAGTGGAGGTATAATCATAATCCGAATAATTCATGTGGAAGTAAAAATGTAACATGTTTATTTAGTTTAATTTGAAATCAAAGTAAGCTACACCAACTCAATTGATACAGTGAATATGCGAAAGTGTATCAATATTGAGGCTATTACATCATTAGTAAAATACAAGCTTTTATTTATTTTATTTTTTTGCTAGATATCTAGTTGTTGTCAGAACTGCCCGTTAATTGTTTGTAACGTTGCTCACCATGTGTTGATTGAATTTTTTTACCAAACATAATATAGGTGTTTTGAAGAGAACTGTATTGTTGAAGCCTGATTTTGTCCTTTCTAAATATGTGTAAATGATTTTTTTGTCATAAAACTGTCATTGATTGTTTTGGGTTTGTAAAAAAAAAATTGTTTTTAGGCAAGAAAGTCATCTTGGACCTTGTGCCCAACCAGTCAAGCAAGAATCATACCTGGTTCCAGAAATCGCGGAATGGTGACGAGAAGTTCAAGGATTTCTATGTTTGGAAGGCGACCACCGATGGAAATCCACCAAACAACTGGGTATGTTTTCATAGATAACGTATTAAGTGTTTAAAGTTGTGGATCAGGCTTTTTCCATTTAATGTCTGAAATACGTTTTGGTGGTTTTGAGAAATTAGTTTTTTGGGATACAAAGAAGCTAAATTGGAATCAACTTACTTGTTTTATTAAAAGCAGAAGGATGTCTATTAGTGCACAAAGAGAAGTCGTGGATGTCCTGTAATTTTTCAAGTTGTGATCTCTTAGGAGGCAGATATGTCTGAATGTAAAAAAAAAAAGTCATCATATAGACTAATACTTGAATAAGAAAAAAATGTCATATTATGTTTTACATTTCGACTATTTAATATATATATGATGCACGCACATTTACATGTGAAAATGTTTTTGGGTTCATTGCCTTTCAGCCAGAGCTGGAATTGCGTTCTAATGTCAAAAGGAAGAGCAGGATGAGTATCAAAGACTGGGTTCAACACACCCCCCCTTTTGAAACTTTGCAAAACAAGCTCAGAATGGACTTGAATATCTTATTGAATGAAAGGAAATCCCGTTTTTCAAATACATTAGATTATGACGTTCCTTTCTATTCCAGAAAACCCTTGACGGAGATCCGGCCTGGACATACGATGATGTTAGAAAAGCTTATTACTTCCATCAGTTTGGCACTGATTACCCTGACCTCAACCTGGCCAATGAAGATGTTGTTGAGGAGATCAAGGTGAGGCTAATGTTTCTGGCGTTTTCTACATTCCACAAGCTACAGTGTTGCTGTTAGGTTGCTCCAAGTGAAGGTCTGCATTGCAAGATGACGGCAAAGCTTTTGTGATACAGGGACAGGTGGAATTTAGTCTTGTTTAGCAAAGATGTAGTTAACAGGTCCAGTCCAATCAAAATTTGACACGTTATTAACTCAATCAACCCTAGGTCTACATTTCCAGGTTGTCAGTTCTCCCTCGAGATTTTTTACTGCTTTTTGAAAAATTGAACCCCCCCCCCCCAGCTAAATCTTAGCATATCCGGCCTAAATTTGGTACACATTTTATTCAAACCTTTATTTGTGTATTTTTATGCAATACTCCGTTGGGAAAGGTCTATATACAGAGCCAAATAGTAAACAAAAGGCCAAGAAAGGAAGTGCGTTCAAATTTCGCACCCCCTCACATCGTTCTCGAATATAGCTTTGTTTGTTCTAAATTTGGGCTTGCACTTCTGGTCAGTCTGTTTCAATTGAAAAATGGTTACTCTTCCAATTAGGCTATAGTCTGCTTCACGCAAAAGTAGTGTTTTGGTCAGGAGAGCAAAATTTTCCATTCCGACTTCGTTAGGGTTAGAGCGTTGCGCGCGTGTACGGATACTATCGGCATTAGGTCTTGATGAGTTAAGTGGGAGCTAGTTTTTTGTTTTAAAAAAATAGTTTTTCACTTTCCGGTATGTTTTGGAGCTATTTTGTCAACAATTTTGTGTAAATGAAGACTGCATGTCGCTAGGTTTTCAAATATATTAAAATAAATCTTTGTCTGTTGCAGGACATCATGAAGTTCTGGTTTGACAAGGGCGTGAGTGGCTTCCACATCAAAGATGTGGAATATCTTGTTGAGAATCCTGATTTACCTGATGACGACGCAGATCGAAGCCAGACCGTCAACTACAAGGGTACCTTCGAGTTCCTCGAAAAGCTTCGTGAGGTGGCTAATCAGTACTCCGATAAACCTGGACGTGAGAGGTGAGAAGCGTGCATGATGTTGAGGGATTTCAGTTTTAGTAAGCATTTTCGGCACTTGCAACATAATGAGGTCATGCAAGTGCCAGAGATTAGATCTGTTACAAGAGAGTAACAATCACAAAAAAGGAGGAAAGACAAGGATGATATTTGTTTGAAGGGAAAGGAGGAGCAAACCACACCAGAACACCCGCCAGCCAGCCACCCAGGTTTAGGGGTTTGTAAACTCAATTTGATAATTCTATAAGAGACTAGATATGCTATTAAAGAGTAGATTAATGTTGATACGCTGATCATGTTATAAGAACTGCCCGGTCTCTGAATTCAATATATAGGTCTGCAGTAGAAATTTTTGGTAAATTTTCCTTAGAAATTGCTGCCCAACTTGATTTAGTGATTGGCCTTATAGATTTTCACACTTCGGGAAAGTGTTGCCACTGGTTGACTTTACACGTCAATAGACAAAAGTGTGGTTCAGATTCTGGTTTGTTCTTTACCAAGTGGCAGAGCCTTTCCAAATCGAATACATTTGCTTCACCGTCGCATGCTGGAGAGCTGAGTGGGAAGAACATTTTTTATCTAATATCTGTCTTTCTGGGTGGGGGTAACCCCCTCAGGTTGGAAGCCCACCTTCGAAATGATCTAATTTGTGTCGATGGAGATATAAACTCGGATACTTAAAAAAATTAAGTTTTTAGAAGCAATCCGCTTTCCTGATGTTGCCGATGGTTAATTTTTACATGTTGGATAAGTTGGATCTTGATAAGAAATTGTTGCTGAAATAAAAACTTCCAGGGATTCTAAAAATAACAGTAAAGAGCAAGGTCTATGAATGGAATTCTGGCTGGAAAGAGTTATTAAAAAATTTGCACTTCTGTATGTGAAAACTTTTTTTTGCCTCTGTACAGGGAACACATTTAGTTTGGTAGTATGTCTATTGTCCAATTCTGTCCTACGGTTCTCATTGAATTTGCCCTTGTCAATTTGAATTTTATGTTGTTGAAAATCCGAACAGAATCGTGGATATTTCTCTGCTTTTGTTCCCTCCAGAGTTTTGTTCGCCACTGTGTACAAAGCCAACAAGAACCAGACAATGTCCTACTGGGGAACTGAGGACAAGAAGAGGCTGCACATTGTTCTGCCACTGATGGACAAGTTTGATGAGAAATGCAATGCCAACTGTGTCTACGACATAGTCAATAGCCAGCTCACAGATGATACAGACCAGTGGCTCGGCCTTGCTGTAAGTTTTTTTTTTTTTTTTTTTTTTTTTGTGTATGGGGTTTTTTTTCGGGGGAGGGGGGGTAGTTATTTTAAACGATTGTTCAGAGGGAAGTGCAAGTGATTGTCGGATGATACTGCTGATATAAATTCTTTTCGTACCGTTCATGAACTGTATTGTGTTGCACATCTCGTTCACGCATTCAGAAGGGGTTGATAAACAAATGGGGACTGAAGAGAATTAGAAATAGGTTTTCAGGTCAATAATCTCGTTCATTGATTGTATAAATTGTCGTTTGTTGTTTTCTGTTTATTTCATACTAAAGTAGGTAATTTTAGACCTTCTGAGCTCTTTGATTATCCTGGAGTGGGTGGTTGGCTGATGCTTTTGTGTGGTTATCTTGATCTCTCCTCTTTTTTTTTTTTTTTTTTTTTGTCTTACTTGTAACACCTCTAATCTTTGGCACTTATATGATCTTATTGTATTGCAAATGTAAAACTGACAAAAAAAACTTGAAGCCAATTATCGTTGATCAGATTGGGGGGGGGGGGGGGGGGGGAGACAAAGTTGAGTCAGTCATCCTTGTGTCCAATATTTGCCTGTAGTCTGACATAAGCTTTGATCCTTTGTTGCAGCTGGGCAACCAGTACACATCACGCATTGCCAGTCGTATTGGAGCAAAGACAGTCAACCTGCACGCTGCACATGCTCTTGAGCTGCTCTTGCCCGGAAGCGCCTTCAACTACTATGGTGATGAATTTGGCCAACTAAATGGCAAGGTTCCAGCTGCTGACCGACTGGCTTTCAATGTAAGTAGTAACACTAACACAGTCGCTTTCTTATGCTCCTGTCTTGTTATATTGCGTGCATGTTATGAAGACAAAAACCATTTTGTATCCGATGCGATGCCAATTTTTAAGACACACTTATTGAATGTCCTGACTTTAGAGAGACCCGAAAAAGATATTTTGAATAAACAGATATAAAGAATTTATATCTGTTTTTGATCCTAGCAGAAATCTCAATTTTTGTAAATAGTTGTTTTTTAAAGAATGTAAACTGCCTTTTTTGAAACTTATTTTTACTATTTATTTTCTCATTACCAGTACTTTGCTGGAGTAGGGGTTTTGTGTTTGTTCTGTTAATGTTAATGGCAGCTCAACTCTTTGAAAAGGTATTCCAGAAGCTTTGGAAAGTGACAACACAGATCTAGATTATTAGGTTGATGAGCAGGTCTTTATCTAGATATAAAGGAAGGACATTTTGTTTCTCTAATGGACTGTTGCTTTATTTCATGTAGAACAAATCTATCTCATTCATCTTGTTTTGGTCTTTAGGATGACTACCGTACTCCCATGCAATGGAATAGTGGGCCAAACGCTGGCTTCACCTCAGAAGGTGTGAAACCCTGGCTGCCTATTGGAGCTGACTATGTGAACAATAACCGCAAGGTGAGAGAGAGAACACAACTGACTGGTTTTGTCTGGTACTTATAGGAAAATTATTTTCTTGCCTTTGTGTGAAAGTGATCCAATATTGGGAAGTTTTTGAGCATCGATGGGGAAAGATGTCTATTGGACTGTATTTGTTTACTTGTTTCATATGATAAAACGTTTGGAGAAGGGAAAAAAAATTTGAGAGATGTGTTTGGATACTTTTCATCTGTATGTGGCCATTAGTCAAGTGCTATAGCTATTGGCATTGGAGATGCACGGACTTGCATTATTTTTGTTCTGCGGTCCAAAATTTTATTTTCCATCATCCAGGACATTGATTTTTTTAAAAGTTTACGATATCTGAGACAGGCACACACACACACAACTTTTATGCCTATCAGAATAAGGATTTTGTTGTTTTTCTTTTTTTCTCAGGCTGGGGATGCTCACTTTACAGATGGAACAACTCCTCTCCAAGCATTTAAGGAGCTGGTGAAGCTCAGGGGAGAAGAGTCTTTCCAGTGGGGTAAAACTAAGGTAAGGCTTGAGCACACATACTGGTGCGAAAAAATTTTGATGTTATTTAGGTGGCATATTTTGCACATGAATATTGCATTTTGATTTTTCTATATCAGTGGAGTGGGCCTTAAAAAAAAAAAAAGTATTTTGTTGATAGTGTCCTATTGTTTCAACACAAAATTTTAATGGTGGATAATAGTTCAGGAACTTGTATTATATCAGTGCCCTCTTTAATATTATTTTAGTTTTGGCTCCTATTCTTTCACTTTTCTTTTCAGCTCTCATATTCCTAGTAATGCTAATGTATATGTGTTACGATGCAGTGGAATCAGGTTCTCGTCAATTATTGGGCTTGTAGAGTTATTGGTACCATCTGAAAGCAGATTTATTTTGTCTTGCTTTCAATGAAATAGATATCCATCTATCTTGAATATAACTCGAAATGTTTGTGATTGAAGGAAATGAGGTCGCCTGGTTTCATTGTTGAAATTAGTAAGAAAATGGCTGCCAAAGTTTGGTAACTCCAATAGCTAAAGTCCTCGAAAACAGAAAAATGACATATTTTGTGCCTTCAATCAAAATCGTTTTTCAGTAAAATGCACATGGAAATGTATTTTTATATTGACATAAAAGAGGTTGCGCAAAAAATAAAAAAAATTGATAAAAATTTTCAAACTGGTGAAAAAATGCCTTTATCTCCGTTTATCTGTATTTTGATTTCACCATGCTCCCTCACATATATATTCGTATGTAGTATGTGAATCAACCATTTTTGGGCTGTTGATATTGAGCATTTGATGAGCTCATACAAATCAATGGTTTGAATCTTTAGAGTTGAGTCTGCATTTTTAAAATCTCTTTATTCCGTGTCAAATGCTGTGTGATCAAGGTTAGGTACTGTGAGTCAAGTAAGATATTTTATTCCAAGTTAAGCCCTCCAAATTTTTTGTTTTGGTGCACCCCTTTTGTACATGATTATAATTTATGATGTTTGGTACTTCTCTCTTTTCTTTTATCCTTTTCAGTCCCTGACTGCCATTCCTTGTTTGAAAGCTGACAAATTGTTTTACTTTTTGCTTTCCCCAGCTGTGTTCCCCCAATGACAACATCTTCATGTTCACTCGCAAAGCTACACGCTTCCCATACTTCCTGGTCATGATGAACTTGGGTAACCAGACCATGTACGAGTCCCTAGAAACCCAGAAATGTGTGGAGAGCAAAGAAGAGGGTGTCGTCAGCTTCCATTCACGAGATGAAGACCAAGTTGGCTTAACTTTGAATTTCCACGACAACCCGGCTCGTTTGGCACCAGGGGACGTTGTGGTCATTGAATTTACAGCAGACGACTAGATTCTTAGTACCATGATAATAATGAACTCTGCGTGGAATAGATTTTTATTTATGAGTGCGTCTTTTCTCTCAATCTCAAGTCCTTTTACCTTGATTTCTAAGTAGTAATGTATATGACACTTCTATTGAAGTAAGAAAAGTGGCAAATAGCGGTTATCACATCCTTGGACTTAACAGATTTCTAAATCTCATCAGCCTGAAAAATGTGCTTGATTTAATGCAGAACTTACCTTGCACGTTTTCCTGAAATCGCATTTTGAACCAGTATAAGTGGTGATGTTATATGACTTGTTGTTAGTAGCCCATGGACCTTCTTGAACTTTATAAAAGAGATCGTCTCATAGTGGTGCTGGAATGTATACTGATGGGCTGTTCTTACAAAAGACACCTTTTGTCACTTGAATTGATAACACTTCCTGGTTCTGGCATTGGTTACTCTGCATTTTTGTCATCTCGGCAAATGAAAAAAAATTCCTCATTTTCGTACAGGTGATGGGGGAATCTATGCTGTGTCCATTTCCCAAGCAAAACGAATGGTATCATACTTGACATGTTTATTATATTATTTCAAGTAGGCCTACTTCTTCAATAGATCTTCAAAAGTGTTCACTTGCATTATTGTTTACCAACTTTAGCCTGGCCTATGCTGTTATTAGACCAAACGTGCTAGTAAAATTTAACAGAAATCAGAAGACTTTTCTCATTCAGTAAGAATTAGCAATGGGTTGTTTTATCGTGGGTGAAAAATAAACTGTGGAAGAAAGTGTCGTGCTTTTTGTTACTTATATCGTATGGCTTTGTTGCTGTTCGTTTATGTAATAGTTTGTCCTGATGCTGCTACTCAAATTGTAGTGTTTTAGGTTCTCAAACAGACAGGTTTGGTGGGTGCTCTGGTGTGGTTTGCATCCAATTTCCTACCAAAGGTCATTTGCCCTTATCTCTCCTCCTTTTTTGTGTTTGTTACTCTCTTGCAACGTCTAAATCTTCAATATTTATACAACCGTACAGATCTTACTAAAACTATAACACTGGGTTGCCTGGTGTCTTATGTGAGGCTTGATTCAAGCCCAGTCTCTGAAATCAAATGGTGGACTCAAAGGTCTCGTTGAAGTCTTCACTTGGGTTATTACATGTGGTTTTGGCAGCGTCGTTGGTGAAGGAGATGATGATTTTTATCTAAGCTTTTGTACCTAGTCGGAAGGTGTTGTCGAGCTCCTAGAAGAAAGGTAGTGGATTTGAACCCTGCCGGGTCCCAATGTCCTTCAGAAAGACACTTTATTAGAAATTTCGTCAGTGAGTAGCCGGCTGTAGGCAAAAGATCTTTTCAGTTTTAAGAGTTAAAGCACTTAATTGATTACTTGCACTTCATGCTTCCTGGGAAGCTGAGAATGTTTCTGACTGAGGGTACAGAGGGTCTGCTGAGTAATGCACCACCTGCTTTCACTGGGGTACTCATCTTTATCAATCCAGACCTGTCAATACACACACGCACACTCTATTTCTCTTTCTCTCACTCTCCTTGTTCTTTCCCCTCTTTAATTATATGTTCATGTACTCTCTGTCTCACACACACACATGCGTACGTGGATGGTTGGCGGGTGCTCTGGTGTGGTTTACTCCTTCTTTCCTATTAAACATCTATCGTCCTTATCTCACCTCCTTTTTTTATGTTTCTTACTCTCTTGTACAATTGTGGCGACAGAGTTGTGGTTCATAAGACGCATGCTTCGTATCCCATGGACAGCTAGAAAAACAAATGAAGTCTTGGTTGAAGCATATTGCAGAAGACAGCTTATGACGAATATAAGAAAGCGACAGTCAAATTTCTTCGGACACACGGTGCGGAAGGAAGCATTGGAGAATATTGTAACAACAGGCAAGTTTGATGGAAAGAAAGGCAGAGGCGGACAGAGGGAAAAGATACTGGACAAGATGACAACATGGCTAGGAGCAGCAAGAACAACAGACACCATTGCTGCAACGCAAGACAGAGTGAAGTGGAGGTCCATGATCGCCCACGCCGGTCGGCAAGGCACCGGATGATGATGACTCTCTTGCGACACCTCTAATATAATCTTTGGCACTGACCTTATTGTGTTGCAAGTGCCGGAAAACACTTACTAAAACTACAAACACATGCATGCAATGCATTTTTCTCGTGTCCCACCGTTGCTCTGCAACATGCTGTTGGAATGACGAAACCAAAGAAGCAATTAAAAATAAAATGAAAAAGAAGAAATGGCAGAAGTCAAAGACTGAAGACGACTATATAGAATACAGAATCATCAAAACTGCTAAAGAAAATGCATGGAAAATATATGGCGAGAAACTGACCAAAATCTGCAAGGAAAACCCTAGAGTGGTTTATAAAAATGTGAACAGTATGCGAGTAGGGAAAGACCCATACAACTCGACATGCATTATAAACGATAAAGAAGATACCGGTAATGCCATTCTCAGCAAGCATGCCTCATTAAGAAAAGATGGGAAAATTCTTTAAAAGAAATACTCAACCCAGACGCTTGCCACGGACAACAAGAAGAGTTCCATCCATCATATTTGGCACATACAGAACCACCCATACTTCTCAGTGAAATCGAAAAGGCAATCAAAACCAGCCCCAAGAACAAAGCCCCAGGATCAGATATCATCAGAGTGAAAGCCAAAGAAAATGCCCAGAAGTCTGACAGAAAGCCACAGTGGTCCCACTATGGAAAAAGAAAGGTAACAAACGGGACTGCACAATGTACAGAGGCATCTCTTTATTAAGTCGCATAGAGGGAAAATACAATGGAACTCGGATTCAACGAGATGAGAAAGATTCCCCGTTTTTTTTCTTCTTTAAAATCAATTATCAAAAAATAACCCGGATTCAACGAGCACTTAATTCAGCGAGCTCGGATTCAACGAGGTCGCTTCCAGGGTGAACAGCCCCTGCAGACGTGGCTTCGCTAATTTTTCTCCCAGAACGAACTTTATCTATTCCCAGAAACCATCCATTGCACCTGCATCGTGAACCATTATTCACTCAGCCGATTGCATGCGACCAATCAGCGGCCTTTTTTCATACCAACACACGCGTGTCTACTCTGCCGTGTGTCGGGGTCGGATGGGCCGCCTGCACACGTGTGACTGTGTGCACGTGTCGGGGAGGGGAGGGGAGGGGGGTGGGCGCACTAGCGGTCCGGCGTTGAACGTCGCAGATACAAACGCGTCACAGTCTTTTCCCCCCCTCGGCAACTGATCATTATTACAGTGATAAGCTAGTCTTGACGCAGATCTACGTAATGAATTGTGCACTGGTCTATGGAATCAAAAGTTGCCGTATGCTAGTCTCTACACAGCAACACAACCTTTTGGTAAACAATCGAGATGACATAGGCGTGTGCATTTGAACGAATCCGTCTTTTTTTTTTTTACCCAGCTCGTAATAATAATATGCAGGCATTTCAGGCACTACTTGTGACTTCAATTTATACATTACTTGCTCAGTGCCTGTAATTATCTGCACAAAACCTCGTGTTTGCTATAACGAACATACGGATTCAACGAGATTTTAGGTCATGCCCGGCGACCTCGTTGAATCCGAGTTCCACAGTATACGCAAAGATCAGAAGAACAGCGGATAGGACCTATTGTAGATTCCGAAAATGAAGAGGATGCATGGATGCTGTATTCGCATTAAGACAGATATGCGAGAAAACAACCGAACATAACAAAGTATCCAACATAACCTTTATAGACCAGAGAAGGCTTTTGACAGAGTAAACCATGCAAAACTGTGGAAGACACTCGAAAAGTATGGCGTCAGAGGACATTCATTAATGTAAGATAATTTCAGAGCTCTATACACCAACAGCAAAAGCTCAGTAAGAACGAAGGACTCTAGGAAGGCAATACAGACTGGTTCAAAGTAAGATCTGGAGTACGACAGGGATGCGTTCTATCTCCCCTCCTGTTTATATATGGACACAATAACGCAAACCAAAGCCCAGAAAGCCTAGATAAACTTCTATTCGCAGACGACCAATGTCTTATTCACCCAAACCAACAAAGCCTCCAAAATAAAACGACCGAACTGAACGAACAGTTGAGAAAAATTTAACATGAAAATAAGCACCACATCAAAAACAGAAGTTATGAAAGTGAGCTGAAACTGCAGTCCCCTGAACATCCATATCAATAGTAAACAACTGGATATATATATTAGCAATGAGTCTATATTCTTTAAAATTTCAGGAATACGAATTCAATCAATTTAAAAAACGAAAAAAGCAACAACAATACGGAATGTTAACATAACAGGTTTATTCACGACTTACAAGAGTGTGGGGGGGGGGTGGTGGTCTACAAAACGTCAAAAGTAACACGATCAGTAGCGTTGATGACGGCCTGGCATAGTCGCCGCCTTGAATCAATCAATCGCTGCACTGCCTGTTGAGAGATGTTATTCCATTCTTCATACGATGCTCTCTCAAGTTGAGAAAGCGTCTGGGGCCTGGGTTGTTGCATGTTGTTCAACTCATCTCCCGTTTGTCTTGCCGTTTTGAAACGATTCTGTAGATGCGACAGGCGTCTAAAAAGATCCTATCTTGGAGTAGTTTTTCTTCTCCCACGTTGGCGATGTCGATCCTTTCCTGATTTTGTTGTTTTCTCATGATCCATTGTTGAGTACACAGTTCTTTGTGTTACATTAAAATGTCTCGCAATAGTGGATACTAAGGCACCCCCGCGGATCATTCCAACAAGCTGATTTCGCACATTTTCTCTCAGGGCGTGACATCATAAAATTAATGTAGACAAGACAAGTTTTATCACTGGCGAATTGTTACAACAATGACAAGCTTTGATGTGTGCTTCTTTTTTAAACAAATCATTGCCGTATCATGAGTAATTCTAAAAAACACGAAACATGTATCACGCATGCAGTTACAAAACCACTCGCGCGTTCAGAAATCTGAAAACAGCTCACCAGCGACAGGTAGGCTATATCACGTAATCAGTGTGTAAATTTGAAAGTAATTGGTTGCATAGATTTTGTTTTATTGAGCTTCAAAATGTGTATACTTCAAAATGTGACAGAGTATATTTATATATGGCAGAGAAATAGAAATGAGAACCCCAAAAGAGAAAGCTCTCACCCCTCCTATCTCACCCAAACATCTCCATGGACACAAAAAGACAGCTTATCACCTCAATATTCATACCAACATTATGCTACCAATGCCAGACCTGGACATTAAGCAAAACCCATGAGAGCAAAATCACCGTATGCGAAATGAAATGTCTCCGAAAAACCCTTAACATCACAAGACGAGACAGGCAGAGAAATGAAAAAGTAAGAGCAACTATCGGCATAGAGTTCTGCCTGCATTACATAGAAAGACAGAGAATAAATTTAATGGTTTGGCCACCTGTTACGTATGTCATCTGGATAACCAACCCCGAGAGCCTTCAATACCAAGTACTCAGGCTATAAAGGAAGAGGAAGGCGACGCAAAAGGTGGATCGAGGGTGTCAAGGAAACCCTGAGAAAACGTAATATCACAACTGAAAGAGCTGCGGAGATGGCCTACCATAAACAACTGCAGCTCCCCTCGACGCTTAACGGCAACAGAGAATGAAAACGTAAAAGTAAAGTAAATAACCAACGTTCACCACGTTGAACAAGTCATTTCTTAAAACCGTTAGTCTGTTAGATTCTCATAAAAAATTAGAAACTGGTACATGTAGTCATATTTTCTGGTTCTTATTGTCTTACTAC